AACGCGAAGCGACACGCAACGGAGAAAATTTCAAAATCGGATACGTTAAACTATTTTTTCGTACGTAAATCAGTTATACGGACAACACAAGTCCCCAATTGATTCGGAAAATCGACGCTCTACTGTATATAAATTAGCATATAAGCCTGGCTTTTATACACTAATATTATTTGGTATTTCCAAAATAACACGTTAAATTTCAGTAAGCATCGAGATTAAATATATTTCAAATTATACTGTTAATACATTATTATATCATTACGAAACTCGCAAATTCCCTATTTCCTTTCAAATACTTAAAGAGTCTTATTACTTGTAAAAATCGAATAAATCGTTAATTATAGTACAGTTTCTTTCAATAAAGGCCACACGATGTTTTCATAAAATCTATTACTTCATATGATGCAAAAAGTTGTCAAGTTTAAAGGATCGAGTACAAATTCATTATAAAGAAAAACCCCCAATTCCAGATTTGAATATTTTGGTAGATATTTAAAATGAATTCATATTAATACATTAAAAATGATTATCGTGTTAAACTAAAGTCTATGAAAAATAAAATCAGAGTAATTTACTGTGTAAAAGTACTTACTTTCATTAATTACAATAGTAAACTAAAAAATAAAAAATAAATTATAAACTCCATTTTATAAATTTAGCCACAGAAAATGAATTTTTGAATGATGCAGTTGACCTTAATTATGATTTGAATATATAGTGATAGTGATTTTAGTTTAATTAACTAGATTATATTATATTATATACAGTTTTGAATTCTTAGGCAAACGGTGAATGTATTCAAGATGAATATAACATTGTAGACAAAGAGCAGAAAGAATCAATGGAAATATCATCAACGAATGGTCTAAAATCTCAATCAGTAGAATATGAAGAAGCTGTTGTGGAAACCCTTAGTAGCGATTCAGAAAATAGTGGAATTATGAATAGAGACAAACATTTAAACATGAACGAACTGGAACGTTTACCAGAATTGGAAATATTTTCAGAAGTGATAGTTGAAGAAGTCGAACTAGAATGTCACATCTGTCAAGAGAAATTTGACAACGAAGTATCTCGTAGAGAACACGACGCAAAATTTCATTAATTTGCAAAGCATACGATTTAGTAACGATATTACTAAACGACTTAAATCTTGCATTTATTTTTCATTTATTATAAAGATATTTTTGATGATTTACATGTAGAAAATCAAATTAGTAATTACGTTTTGTATATATTTTTATTTTTAAAATTAAAATTTAAGAAAAATATTAATAAATTTTTGTTCAACTCATTCATTTATTCAAGTCAGCAATTTATTAGAAATACATTTATTGTTTCAATATAAAAGTGAAATTAAAATTTCGTTAAAACATATTTTTTCTTATTATATTTTCCATTCATAGATTTATGTTCTCCAAATTATATTTAATTATATTTACATTCGACCGAATTAACATTTCATACTACTTAAACATTTCCATACTACTTCAACTGAAGAAGAGAATAAAAACATTTCGAAATGTATTAAATTAATTTGAAATATGGACAAACGAGTCTGTAATTGTTGATAAAAAATACAACAATGTTGAATTATTGCCGACTTAATTTTGGAAGTTATATTAAGTGTTATGTAAGAAAAACTTATTGTTTCATAATTGCATACAACCCCTTTATAACATTTTTCACATACAAATGTTATCCAAACAAGAAACTGAGTGGCAAAAAATTTAGGTCAAGTTAAAAATTCTGACTATTTCGATGACAGTCAAATTGTTTTTACCAGTTTTTCTTTGGTAATGATAAGCTCGGAACATGAAAACGGTTTGCACATGACTGTATTCACGTTTCTAACATTTCGCATTGAAGTTCCAAGATTATTTTTACTAAAAGAAATCTCCCATAAAAAAACGTTTGGCTGTCATCTAATAATTATAATAATTTTTTTTAATTTGCGCTATTTTCAAATTTTTACATTTTTGCTGTTATAATTTCGATACGAATTAAAACAATTTTTGATTGTAGAAATAATTTCGGTCAGTTTAGCAGATAAGAATTGTTTTTTTTTTTTGTTACTGATTGTTTTATTATATTAAGACCTAAGATGATCACATTTGGCACTCGGCAAAGAGATCGGAACGTTTTCAATAGGGCGTTAAAAGTTCGTTATAAAAAGTTTCAATTTGCGAACACTTTCAATGACATTCATTCGTTTCGATGCAAATTTTATTTTTACAAGTATAAAATTAAACGATAAAAATAAGATTGCTCTATGCGGAATTTCTATGAAATTTGACTATTCAACAGAGAAATTTCGTAAGCTTCTCAATCATAGAAACAAGGAATTAAGTTTAAAATTAGATCTTTATAGGTTTAGGAGCATTGCTGGATGAAGAAAAAAAATGCAGCTTTTTTTGGTGATTATTTTACTTTGTAATTGTTTACATTCGTGTCAAATATCTATAACTATATCTATATCTATATATATATATATATATATATAAATGGACATGTATGTCCCTATATTTTACTTTTCCGCAAAAACAACACATCGCACGTGAATGATGTTTGTATGTGGTAGTAGCCCCAAGTCTCCATTCGTGCATAGGGGTGGTTGCGTCTCGATAGCTATAAGGGTGCGGGAGATATGAGGCTGAAAGTGGTTGAAAGTGGCTTTCTATTTCGAATGTTTTGTTCGAATTTGTTCGAATTAAATTCGAACATAAAATTCGAATATTCGTTCGATTATAGAACGATTGTAAACGTTCCAGAAACGTTGAAAATAGTTCGTTTGACTTGACGTGAACAGGAGACGTTCAGAAATAGAATCGGGACCAGGTCTCTAATCAGAAACGGGTGACCTAATTCTTGCATTCTGTGAAAACGGGTAAGATTAGCTATAATGTAATTATCTTAATCTTCACTATTGTTACTTTTTAAAATTCCAGCGAAGCGGGTCCTTGCAGCTAGTATATAAATAAAACCTAAAATTTGACACATTACCTAATAAATCCGTTATGTTTCGAATGAGATACTCTGATTTAATATAGAGATTTCGGGAACAGTGAAATTGACCCCGAAACATCGGAAATCTGATTTCCATGTAAATGTCAGTTAAAGACTTTTTCACTTTGTGCAGAACCATAGCTGTCACTCTCAATGAGAAGAAATTATACGTAACTATGTGAAGAGATAATGGACCGAAGGTGATTGCAACATACACTCTAAATGGGTGCCATTAATGTAAAATATTAATAAGGTTGTTCGATTTATTATCGTTTTTTCTAAACACTTTTAATTTCTCTCGAAACTCGAACATCGAACAAAAAATTTTTTTATACAGGTTCTCATAGCCACTGACGAATTGTCCAAATGTGGTACATAAAATAAAATAAATATGTTAATGTTTTACTCCATTAAGCGCTGACTTCAATTTGAGGATATAAAAATATATTGATAACAAGATGTCTTTCAATTTGAATATTTTGATGCAAATCCCGTTTCTAATATATACATCAATAGTGTTTGCATCAAGTATAATCATTATATGAAATACAAAATAATTTATAATTTATTTTCATAATTATAATTTATGGATATAAATAATTGAAAAAGTTACGAATTATAATGTGCGTTGAGATGATAGCTTTTTGTACAATTATTAAATTGAGTTGAATAGAAGTTAAGAATGACTAAATAATTAATGATTTATGACTTTATATATTATATTTAAATTATTGTATACAAAGAATAGTAGTCCTATCGCTAGCTTATACAATAGGCAGAAACGTTATTTAGTGTTAATAAAAAAATATTGACCATTATAAAGCCCATTATATCAACTGTAACACACTTACTGTATAAACATACATTTGATTTAAGTGAAATAATACAAAGTTTACACGCAAATGTCTAACGCAGTACCTGATGGAAAGCGATCATCGTAACAATCTTTCATTTAAAAGTAAACTCTGCACTTCTTTGGATCAATCAATAAAAAACAGTTAAATGTCTAATCGTTCCAGAGGCTATCATCTATATTAATTTTTTTACTATTTTTAGTATAAACGCAGTATTTTTTTATCTATTAAATGTGTTTTAGTATGTACTTTGGAATGTCTAAAATCAACAATTTTCCAAAATACATACCAAAACTCTAGATTAAATTAATTGGATTTACATTGATTCATATGGAAAATTTTGTCACGGGATTCAACGGTTTCAAATTTCGTCGATTGCTTTCGAACGGTTTATCGAGTAAAACCGATTTACTTCTGTATTGGCGTTTAAGTCGCTTACCGTTTATAATAATAATTTAATATAATAATAAAAAATAATTTAAGCCGGTATTTTTTGTCTTTTCAAGCAAACAAATAGGCACAATAATGTACAATCTGAAAAAACAATTCCGAAATTTTACATTATTGTAGTGCATTCTTGTTATTTCATCTTTTCTGAATTTAATCAAGTGAATTCAAACTTTGCATTTTTAATTTTTTAAATGCAATCAGAAAAGGTAAGTAAAACATCTCAATCTGTTTTGTAACACAAAGTTATATTATGTTTTTGAGTAATTCACTTTATACTATATTACATTATTTATATTAGGCAACACTTTTCATTCGAAATTGTAAAAAAAAATAAAATATTTGAACTTTATTCTTCTTACATAAATGTAAAATACACGAAAAAATTATATTTTTCTTTTATTTCTGACGTTTTCGATATTATATAACTTCGAATCTTAAAACATTAAACCAAAAATCGTTAACAATTTAAAGTTAAAAAGATATAAAAAGACATCAGTTGGCAGAGAAAAAACTTTTATTTACATTACTAACAAGCTCCCCAAATGCATTTCGCCTATGAAAAGATTTTTCAGTGGGGCTAACAATACAGAGTTCACGTTCTGACAATCAACTCATTAAAGAGCCTCTTATATAATTAACAAAAAAATCCCAGCATTTTGCTGTTAACATTCCCGTATTTAAATTTACATTATTGTTCTGCATAATTATAGCGAATTGTACTTTTACCTTTCGTTTACATTGTTTTCTTCTCTAGAAATAATTTTTAATTTATTAGTATTAATCTGACTGTTATTACGATTACAATGTTGGAAAATAAAAGATTTACAAATTTTTACCTTACAGCAGCCAGACGTCCCGACAGTGGAATCTTTAATCTTCGTTTTGTTTCACCAACGTAAAAACTAGGGTTGTTACACGTACATTCTATCTGATGAACAACACCTTCTTCTCTAATAAATATTTTTTGGTACTTATTATAATCATCATATTTGATAATATGTTATTTAAAGATGGAGCGAATCTAATTAATTTTTGATTGAAAAAACATATTATATTTTTCATAAATACCTTTTATATACGGAAACGATACATACTGTATTATTTCTCGATGCCGTTTAACTTTGAATCTGTTTCTTAAAAATCTATGGTACCAATCATTTAATTAATTAATTAAATTTTTGGGTATCCAATTAGAATACATTTCTTATATGTATCTCCAATTTCTTTCTTTCTTTTATCTACCTATTTTTGATTTAAAGGATAGTATGATTTATAATTAATTATTTTTCTCGTATTACACGGTTTTTCAAATTTACAGTACTCCAAATGATCTTCAAACCTTTTAATTGTTATATCTAAACAACTTAATTGATTATTTAATTCGTGTTCTTGAGTAAATTTAATATTCAAATTAATTTTATTAGCTTGTTCCAAAATTTGCAAATTTGTTGTTACTGCACTATCATACGCGATCAAAATATTCTCGACGTACAGTACCTCGCAAAAAACTTTACTCCGTATAACGTCGATGAAAACCTCTCTACATCCAGCATATAAATTTCAGCTAATTTTGGTCCTATTACAGAACCCATAGAAATACCTTCTGTTTGTTTGTCGATATTTTGATCGCGTATGAAAAATATATGTTTTTCAATCAATAATTAATTTAATTCGTTCCATGAATAAATAACAGATTATCAAATATTATTATAATAAATACCAAAACATAAAACAATTGTTCTTATAATAAAAAAAAAATTAATAGAGGTAGAAGGTGTTGTTTATCAGATAGAATGCACGTGTAACAACCCTAGATTTTACGTTGGTGAAACAAAACGAAGATTAATGATTCCACTGTCGGAACATCTGGCTGCTGTAAGGTAAAAATTTGTAATTCTTCTTTTTTTCCAACATTGTAATAGTAATAATAGTCAGATTAATACTAATAAATTAAAAATTATTTCTAGAGAAGAAAACAATGTAAACGAAAGGTAAAAGTACAATTCGCTATAATTATGCAGAACAATAATTTAAATTTAAATACAGGAATGTTAACAGCGAAATACTGGGAATTTTTTTTTAATTATATAAGAGGCTCTTTAATGAGTTGATTGTCAGAACGTGAACTCTGTATTGTCTACTGAAGAATCCTTTCATAGGTGAAATGCATGTGGGGAGCTTCTTAGTAATGTAAATAAAAATTTTTTCTCTGAAAATTGATGTCTTTTTATACCATTTTAACTTTAAATTTTTTAGCGATTTTTGGTTTAATGTTTTAAGATTTAAAGTTATATAATATCGAAAACGTCAGAAATAAAAGAAAAATATAATTTTTTCGTATATTTTACATTTATGTAAGAAGAATAAGGAAAAAATTCTGACTCCCATCGCTTTTTATAATTATTTTGGAAAACATTTGAAATTTTAATTTTTATCGAATAAATACATATATTTTACTATTATGTTTTGATATAAACAGAAAATATTTTTGAAAATATTAATGACGAATATAATAATTTGTAGTAGTTTACACAACGAATATTTTTTAAGGAAGAAAAAAATAAACATGAATGCACTGAATGTAAACAAATATTTTTAAAGAAATCGCAATTAGATGTTCACCTGAGAAGCCATACTGGTGAGAAACCGTTTCTATGTGATATTTGCGGTAAAAAATTTTCCCAGTCTGGAAATTTAATAATTCACAAAAGAACACATTCGGAAGAAAGACCATTCAAATGCTACTATGAAGACTGTAAATACGCTGCGAAAAGGAAACATACTTTAATAGATCATGTCAAACGATTACATAAACTTCCAGTTGTTTCTGAAGTTATTGTAAGAATTATGTTTATGTTTATTTTCGCATTTAAGTCCATACATATTTTATGAAATATAATTTATCAAATTTATTAACTTAAAGTATAAAATATAACATTATTATGGACTATATAATTACTTAAATTATTATAAAGAAAATTGATATTTTACAGTAAAACATTAAAAAATATAATTGTTATATCTCTATCGTAAAAATCGAAAATATTAGTTACGAAATAACTTCTTAACCAATAAGCGTTAAAAATGTAGTCTATATAAGATATAATAAATTTACAAAGTATATTAAAATTTAACTAATTTTATATTTACGTATGTAATAAATAGCAAATTTAACTTATAAGTCATATAATAATTAGATTCCTGGAAAAAAGGCAGAAAAAGATTACAAATGTGAGAAATGCGGTAAAACTTTTCGATTTTTATCCACTTTAAGAATACATCTAACGTCTCATGAAAAATACCGACCGTTTTCATGTAATATTTGTAAGAAAACTTTCAAACATAAATATCAGTTAAATAGACACATGAAGAAAGTACATCCACAAGAACAAATCGCATATTCTTCAAAAGTATGTAAAGAAATTTCTAAAAATTAAGTTTTTAAAAATTACTTGAATATTCTAATGCAAGAAAAGTTATTTAGCTTGTAATAGAGTTTTAAAATTGCTTATCAGGTTTTTTCAGGTGACTTTATTACGTTATTACTGTAAATAATTTTATTCTGTAACCTTCATTCATTTAATAACACAGCATTGTTTATGTAAAATGAACAATTGACACAAAATAAATAACTGATAATTTGAAGTTTGTACCTTGAGTCATTCGATAATCAGCATCAGTTTTCTTATACTTCTGTATACGATATTTCCAAAATAATAGGATTTAAGTTACAGTAAATTCTAAGGTTCGTGGTATATCTGATTATTTTAATTTAATGTTGTCATTGTCTATATTATGTTTTTAAATAGCGTGCTAAATTATTAGTAAAACAAAAATGGTAAAATTTGTTTTTTTTTTGTAAATTTCAATAAACAATATAACTAGTGATATCACTATTAATAAGAAATCTACCTTTTAAAATTTTTAGAATATACAGTCGACATCCTTATTACACGGTAGATAAGTTCCGTTTTATATGAATTCCGTGTTATAGAGTCACTTAAATACATGAGCCAATCACAGCCCGACACGTCTACAGTTTAGGGACTACGACTGTTTGAAAGGTTTTCTTCGATAAAATTAATCTATTCTAGACTAATTTGATTCGCCATTGCCAAAACATGTATAATATTTTTGGAATAATCCATATAAACTATGCTATAAACAAAAAATTGTTTGATTACTTACCTAATGTGCACCCTTCGATGACGCCATTGCTTAAGCTTGTTTTCGTTGCGGAGCGTCGCATCGAGTTAAATATTTTTAAAAATAAAATTTTACGTGTAATAAATAAACACAATAAATTTTGGCAGGCTTTATAATTAATATAAGAAGTAATATACAATCTGTAATTCTTCTATAAACAAAGCCTTTTTTATCTTTTTTTTTTATCAATTCGGAAATTTTTTGTTATTATTCATTTACACAAAAGTAATAAAATACGAAAATTTAATATTTTAGAAATGTTTAACTTGATAAAATATATATCTTAGAAGAATGTTAATTAATAGTAAGATCAAATCATTTACGTTAAGACAAATATGAACTAAGAGCTAAATAGTAAAATAGTGTAACATGTGAGAAATAAGGGAAAAAATCGATTCCTAAATCATATATCACTATTAAATTCAGCATTTTAGTGAAGTTAGAACAACGTTAAATTTTTCTTAACATTTTGCGCCAAATAATGGCCTGCTCACTGAGTTGTTGTCTAGTTTGCCTAAATTATAAATAGCATTGGCCATGTAAATAAAAATACACATAAAATAATATGTAAAACTTTGTTCAAATTTAGAAAATAATTGTCAAATAAAAACAGTAGAAGACATGAGAACATTAGAATAAATTAGTTTTCAGCTTATGAAGTTTACATCTTTATAAGAAAAATAATTTAATATAAAAATTTATTTAAATGCTATATTCATTGCATTTATATTTATTCTTCCTACGATATTCTCGTTGAAATCACAACTATATTTTTACATAGCTTTTTATAATTTGCTTTAAAATAATCATATTATAAAGAATATGTTGAGATATTAAGTAAAAACAGTGGGAAAAGTAATTAAGTTAAGCGAAAGGTTAGTTATTCTTAAACTTAATTCATTTTTTTCAATTTTAAGTTTTTACAATCCTGTGAACAGAATAGTCAGAAATTACCTTCACAATCGCATAATAAAATATCAGCTGCAGTATCAAGTGAAACAGATGAAAAGTCACAGAATGGTCAACACGAACAATTATCTGAAATGGCATTTCGATGTGATTTGTGCAACTTCAGGACTTGGTCAAAGGAGAAATGGTTTATGCATAAACAACGTCATGCCGATGAAAATAAATTCAAAATAATAGTATGTATTTATAAAGCTAATTTATAAATCAAACACAACAACAAAATATTTGTATTTAAAGTAACAAATACACCAGGGGTGGCCAAAACGTGGCGCATGCGCCAAACTTGGCGCATTAGACGATTACAAGTGGCGCTTCAGTCAGTTCTGAGCAACATTGCCAGATTTGTCTTTTTTGCGATTATGAATATTACATAGAAAATTAATTTTTTATAGTCTTTCTTGGCAAGTTCATTTGTTGAACAATTCGTTGGAATAAATTTTACAAATGAAATGAGTGTTCTCCACATAGTAAATTACAGTGTATGCATGTATGTTTATTTGCGATCAGTTTACAGGTGTCTAAATGACAGCGCTATCGTCCCACGATAGTGCTACCGTCCGGACAGCCCGGGAATCAGATTGGACTACTAACTTCTTTTTTCCCCGAGTAGTTCCTGCGACACCTGTTGACCTTTTTTTTCTATTCTTTTGCCTGTACTATACACGATACATTCGTGTTCATGTACACCGCTAATATCGTACAGAACTATTTTATACGGGTAACTATACTACAACCGCAGTTTTCATTGCTTGTTCTGTGGCAAAACTGAATTTTCGTCTTATAAATTGAAATACCTAATTAAGGAATGGCCGAAATTTATCTCCGCCCGAACTTGTCTGAACTCGTCTATCAAAAAATTGGCGCATGGTATGTAAAAGGTTGTCCACCCCTGAAATACACTATAGAGTTATTTAAACTTTACATCAACTATTACCAATTACCGATGAAATTTTTTTTTGCAAGAAAATACGCTATTTTATTCTAACTTTTTACTTCGAATCTACCACTGCATTTGAAACAATAAATACTTCCAATTCTAAATAAGCAAAAAAGGTGAACATATCAATTATCATTGATGTTCTATTTTAATATTAAAAGTCCTTATTTATTAAGTAACGTCTCTTCATCTACCAGTTACTGAGACATCGAAATTTTGAATTTACTTTCTAATGTGTAAGGAAAAGTTAATTCTGAACGGTGATTCAACAAATTTTTATGCAGAAGTAAATTTATTTTGCTTTTGCAGAATTTTTATGTGTAATTATCTGTTTTCATGTTCTATTGTATGTTCAAGACTTACTTTTTAAAATTTCCAACTTCTGTATTTATAATTTTTATCAATATATATAAATTACACGAATTTTCAAAAAAAACATACAGGAATTAATAAGCGATTTATCATGAAATATAATATTGCATAATTAAATCTCAACTGATATTATTTTTGTATGTCGACATTATTTGTGTTTAAATGTCATTGTTAAAAAACAATAATGCTAAATGGTAATCCTTGGTATCGATGTTTAAATAAAGAGATGTTAAAGACAATACACAATTACAATAAATGGACAATAAATGTTTTATGAAGAGATGTGTAAAGAGAATACACAATTAAAACTACAGTGAATGATAGGTTAACAAACATAATCCGTTCCAAGACTTTGCTCGCTATCCGAATTGTTCGTTAACCAATTATCGATATACCATAGGTTTCTATGGAAATTTGATTCACTCGTTCTGGAGACACCAAAAAATAAAAAATATATACTTTCTTAATACGTTTATTCATATGTAATAATAAAAATATATATACACGGTCTTGCATTTTTATTAGTCATGTTTTTTCCGTTTGTAGGGGTTAAAGAATCTGTTCAATGTCAATTTCTTTTCTGGCTTCTTCATGATTTTTCAAAAGTAATTAATCGTATTGTAATTGTAGAGATCCCTAGGTCTATTAACCGCAACCCGGTTTGTATGCCATTTTAAGACCGTTGTTTTGACATCCTCCCCCTTCTTCAAAAGATCTTTAATAGCAAATTTCGGCATAAATCCTCATTTTCAGAAGAAAATGTAAAAGAATTGTTTCTATCAGAAATATAAAAGGTGAGGGAGGGTTTCAAAGTTCGGGAGAATACTATCCGATCAGTATATACTGGGTAAAACGTCAATGTCGACGTCTCCCGCGCTCCGAAAAGTTTCGAATTGTTGCCTGAAGACAAAGGAATACCAATCGGTATTCGTTATTTTACGTCGCTTCTTGTGTTTGTTCATTGAAGTGTTCGTTATCCGAACATGTGTTCGTTGTCTGATCATAAAAATCTTTCGCAAAAGTGTTCGTTATCCGATTTGTTCGTTAACCGATCACTCACTGAATAAATTCCGGATACAATATATACACAAACCTTAGTAAAATACAGTTCAGTCGTATAAATAATACATGTTATACATTAAATAAAATACCAATTAATAATGTAGTTGAAAATGGCAAGTCCGTAACATAAATGATATAAAAAATCAAGCTTCAGAGTATGTAAAAAAAAATGTCTATTTTGCTTTGTGTGATAATTTGATGAAGAATGATCTAATTTGTGAATACAAAAAATTAATTTATCATCAATTCAGTTATAATTGTGAAAGTTTAATTTAAATGTTATTTTATATTGTATGTTTAGCTTACAAAATATAATTTCTTACAGGAATCGGCAGAAACATCTGATTAACAAACTTAAAGGGCTGCGTGTATTGTTTTAATGACGAGAAAAGAAAAGAAAAAAACTGAAAATAAAACTTCCCAATTAATTTTAAAAAATTCAAATAACATTTTGAAAATATTCAGCACCAAATTCGTTAAATGAACCTGATTTATTTATTTATTACTTTTTGAATATTTAACGAAAGACTTCTTCAAAATTCAAAACGTTATTCGTATTGAAATCTTAATTGTTTTCTAAATATTGTTATCAGTTCATGATTAATAAAATTTTTTTCAAAAGTACAGTTTTTATAAATTATTAAAGTGCTTTTACTTTTAAAGCATTTTGTCAATACAGTCGACCCCCCCTATAATTACGGTCCCTATAATTACGATTCCTATAAAACTACGAAAAAATATACGTATTTTGGAAATGTTGAGTCGGATTAGTGTAGAATCGATTAATTTTATGGAAGAAAACCTTTCAATCAGCCGTAATCCGTAAACTTGACACGTTCGGGCTGTGATTGGAACGACTTGTAAGAAATCGGATTCCTAATAAATTGGAACGTATCTATATCTTATAGGGGGATCGACTGTATAACTTATAATTGGCCGATTTCTATCTGTATATAAAAATTTTACTTAATTATAAAGTATTTTCCTTTCAATATTAAATTAACTAGTATTTAAATACCAATATGGTCAGTTTATATTTTAAGAACTCGTTAATTTACTCTTAACACAGACATCATTCTGATATTTTCATAGATTTCTATTGTCATTATTTTCTGACTTAATATAGCTATATATTTTATATTTAGAATTATCATATAAATTCAAATTACTTTAAACAAATAATTTTAAACTATGCAAGGCGTAATCATTTTTATCAATTATGTTTCTATATTAAATTGAAATTTTATAATTTCAGCTTTCAATGTAAACTTCGATTAATTTTATTAAGTTATTTATTTCTTAACTAATTATGCATGTTCAAGTTTTTCTAATACCTTTAACAATTTATTAATCTTAACTTCACATAAGATGACATCTAATATCTGTTCTAGGAATAAGTAAATTAATTATCCCCGATATATACTTTTCGAAAAGTTTAAAACTTTACCTTCGTCCTGGCATATAATTATATGACAAAAGTTATAAGACAAAAGTCTTATAACTTTGGCCTCATCTGCTATTTGTTTATAAATCTAAAGAAATGCAAAATATTTTCTAACCTCTTATCAGAATCTGGAGTAGAAGCTTCCGTATATAAAAAAACTGCCATCGTTATCTTTATTCTGAATTATGTTATAAATTAATTATAACTAGATATATATTAGAGTAAACTTCCGTAAATGAGCGACTATAACATATGGAAAGTTCGAATTTTGTTATTCAGACGTATTCGTTTTTCATCTTCTAAGTTTAGCATTACACCCAAATAAATAGTGTGATAATGCAGGTGTGAGCGGCCGGTGGCTCAGAGAGCGATCCCTGATAACCACTTAATCGGCACGGGTTCGTAAAACCAGCTCTTGTTGTCAAGTTAGGAGGGCGTTTTTTCGAGTGGGAGGAGGTTAATAAGTCGATAAGGAGTCCGATTTCCGAATAATAGACAGGTTTTTATCAAACAACAAATTTAATATAAAACATAAAAGATTAAATACATATGAGACGTTACGTGTTACGAACTACTTACAACTAAACAACTAAGTATCTAAGAAACCGAGAGAGAGAGCTTACGAATGCTGTCTAAGATAAAACCTCATGATGAACTAGTAGCTCGGGACGCCCCCTAGTGGTCGTTCTTTACAAATTTTCATGAGGCGCGGTTCCTTTCACTTTTTTGTTCCTATCAATATGCTCTACAGCTGTTAAAGTCCGAATGGTAAGATTTACCCTCGAATGAAGAGGTGGCGACCCCCCAAACCGTAGACCCTTTAATAACAATAAAGTCAAAGGAACCATACCCCTACTCGCGACCCTTCGAGAGATATAAGCCCCTGAAATAATAAATTCCTATTACAAATATACTGAATTATTTATATTGTTATATTGACCAAATAATAATTTATTGGCCAAATGAATAATAAAAATTTATATTGTTAATTTAAATAAGAATTAAAATTGTTAATTTGAATGTTTGAAATATGACACACGATAGGGGCGCCTCTAGTGTCCGTTATCAAACGGTTACGGGACAGACGGACAGTTGAATGGGTTATATATATAGATATCTTAATTTAAGCGTACAGAAACGTTGCTGTTGTTCCAGCAAAAATCTTGATTTCACTTTACCGAGTGCCTAGTAGGTAATTTGCAGATTACCTAGATACTCTGCACATAGGTAATTTGAGAAATGGAATACTTTTCGCAGCTTTAACGGATCACCCTAGTTAATTCGCAGATTAGCTAGGTAATCCGCACATTAACGGATTTCGAACTTTAGCGGTAACATATATATATATATAATAATGACAGTATATCTGTCTGTCA